TCTCTCCAAAGACTTTATAATATATATTTTCTTTTTAATGTTCTGTAATATTTATATGTCTTGCTATGGTCCTGATTTTTGTTCAATGAATCTAGAAATTTAGTTCTAGGAATTTTTCTTGTATTACTTCATTTCTTCATATTCTTTTCCTGAAATGCTTGTTATTCTTTTAAGATCAGTTCTGTCTTTATCATGTCTCTCTCATTGTCTCTCATTGTTTCTTTTTTTTTTAGTGTTTCTATAAACATGTTATGCACTTGCTACAGAGAAAGAGAGAGAGAGAGAAAGTGAAAAATCACCCTTTGGGGGGAAAATGATGGTGAAATCCCTTCTCTTAGGACTTTGGGCACACAGGCCCCATGTGCCCAGCATGTTTTGTAAATTGCTGGGTCTGGTACTCAAACTGTGCAGTTGGCCATATGGATCCCACTGCCTTAACCACCACACCACTGGCTGCCCCCCCCCTTCTCTTTCAGTTGTTTCTATCTTAACTTTATATTATAATAATTCCATAGTGAATTTAACGTTTTTACTTTTTTTTTTAAAGTTTATTAAAGTTCTTTTTTGGGGACCAGCAAATGGCATAATGGTTATGTTGCTGGACTTCCACATAGTTGACCACAGTTCAAATTCTGGACTCAGCAACTTCAAACTCATGCTGGGTGCATGTGTATGTATGCCCTCTTGCTTTTTGTCTTTGTCTCTATCTGTCTCTCTGGTGAACGAATGGGCCCTGTAGCAAAAATCTCTTTCTTAAAAAAGAAAAAAGTGATCTTTTTGTTCTAGGATTAAACTTTCATATAGCTTTCGGTTCTTGTTTTGGGGCTCTACTGTCTTCTACCATTTCTCTCAAGAAATTAGAAAAAGATAATAAAAAAAAAAACTTGTCATAGGGCATGTGTGCTTGCGGTGGGGGGCGGGAAGGTGGAGTGAGAAAGTCTTGCTGTGGGGATGGTCACACTGCAGGATGCCCACACTGCAATCCCCTCTCCTCCATTCTCCTCTCAATTTTGGGCATATATGCACACATGTCTGGCATGTTTCTCAAGCTGCACGGTCTGACATTGGAACCATACAGTTAACTATGTGGGATCCTGCTGTCTTAACCACCACATCACAGCTGGCTCAGAAAAGACAAAACAAAACAAAACAAAAACTTCTTTAAAATGAAACTTTCTTTTGCTCTTGCATTATCTGTTTTGTCTGAGTTCCTTCTCCCACCCCCTTTTTCTTCTGGTCTTTTGTCAAATTATAGACTTTCCTCAAATGTCTCATAATCTATGTTGCTGATTTTCCAAAATGGGGACTAGACATTCAATATGGAAGAATGAAGTCTGTCATTAGGTGAACGTCACTGTAGAATAATATGATGTGGACCTGACCAGGAGCTATCTATAATCTTTTTCTTGGTCTTGTCAGTTTTCCTAGAGAGTAATCCTCTAATCTCCAGCCTGGACGAAGGTGAGTGGGAGAGAGGTTACAGGAATCGTAGCCATATTCTATATGTAGTTTTTTCATTTAGTCCATCTGATTTTAATATACTGATTGCTGTGGCCTTAATTGTACCTGGGGTCTGAACTTCTCTGATCTGTTGTCTTTTTTCTTTTTTTCTTACTTTTTACTGGAGGGAACTTGAGCTCACCAAAGAGACAGAGAAGGAAAAGAGAAAGCACCATCCATGGGATTGATCACAACACAATCCCTTCTCCTCCATCTTTCCCTTCTTGGGATTCTGGCCATGTATGCACACATACCCAGTATGTATTTCAATCCACTAGGTCCAGAACTCAAACCACATGGTCAGCCATGTGGGATCTGGCTACCTTAATCACCAGGCCACAGAGATGGCCTTCTGTTTGGGAATCTTTAAACTTTCTTAACCTAGATGTCCCTATCTCTCCCATGACTTGGTTAGGTTCCAGCTATTTATTATTTTAATTTCATAAAATATTTTTTCTAGAGGTCAGCAAGTGGTGTGGTGGTTAAGGCAGTGGATTCCCATAGGGCTGACCATGGTTCTAGTCCTGGGCTTGGCAAGTTGAAAAACAAGCTGGGTACATGTAGGTGTATGCCCAAAATTTCGAGAGGAAAATGGAAGAAAAGAGATTGTGGTATGCCATCTCCCTTCCGGGGGTGATTTCTTACTTCTGCTCTCTCTGTTTTTCTCTGATAAGTGTACAAACTCTATGGCAAAAACCTAAAAAATAATAATATTAATTTTTCTAAAACTTCCTTTATTTCTTCAGTAACTCCTATAATGAGAATATTCGTTCTAAAAATTATGTTCTATAGATCTCATAGATTTTCTTTACTCTTATTTATCTATTTTTAAGAGTTTTTTGCCTTAGGATGTGTGCACTCACCAGAGAACGAGACAGACATAAAATGATAAATTATCCCCCAGGGGGATGGCCATGCTACAATCTTTTCTCCCTCATTTTCTTCCTAGGATCCTGGACATGCATACACACACACCTGGCATGATTTTCTCTTCCAAGGATCTTGGACTTGCAGACACACACACACCTGGCATGATTTTCAAGCCACATGGCCCAGGACTTGAACCACGATTGATCATGTGGGAGTTCAGTGACAACCACTACACCATCTGCTGGCCCCAATATAAATATCCTTTAAAAGGTCACTCTGATTCCAGTGTGGAGGATGACTGGAGTGAAGTGAACTACAGATAGAACAATTAAACTGGGTGGTGAGTACAGTCAGACAAGCACTTGGAGCAAGACAGTGAGTAGCACAGGGAAAGGCAGAAGGGGGATTTACCAAAAAGCTCTTCTGTGGAATACTATTCAGAAATGGAAAGGAATGAAATATTAACACATGACAGCATGAATGAATATAAAAAACATGCTAAGTGAATGAAGTCAAACATAAAAGAGTCTGTCCTATATGATTATTTATATAACATTCTAGAAAAAGTAAAACTATAGTGACAGCAAGTCAGTGGTTCACTAGGATCAGTGATGGGGAAGAGTCAACTTCAAAAGGCATAAGGAAGATTTTAGGTTTACACTGACTGTAGTTACACACAGCATACAAATACCACATTCATCAAATGGTACACTTAACATGGAAAAATATTATGAAATGTAAACAATACCTTAATTTTTTAAAAAGTAAAACAATTAGCCAAGGTAAAGAAAGATTTAGGAAGTAGAATCAACAGAACTTGGTATGTACATACTTTGCTTTATATGATGGCTGTATTTCTAGAAATGATGTTTAAAATAGAATTGAAACTGCTCTAAAGGAACTATCAGAACTACTTTTCAAATTAGTATTTTTTAAAATAACACAGGGTCATGTGTGCACACCAGAAAGAGGTGGAGCGACAGAGAGAAAGAAGGAGAGGGATAAAGCATCCCCTCCTCAATGGGTTGTGGTCACTCAACAGTCTCTTCCTTTTCTCCATCCTGTCAGGATTTGGGGCACACATGTACATGCACCTGGCTTATTTTTCAAGGCATCAGGGCTGGGATTATAATAGCCTGGTCGGCCATGTGGGATCTGGCTTCCTTAACCACTACGCTAATGGGACTTGCCCCAAACTATTTTCTACGAGAAAATTTCAAACACATACAAGAGTAGGCAGATGAATAGAATGAATCAATATCCAATTTTAATAATGATCAATTCATGGCCAATTTTGTTTCATTTATACCCATCCTACTTTCCACTTCTTGCTTTTTCTTCAGTTATTTTGAAGCAAATGCCAGATATGATATAATTTCGACCATAAACAATTTAATATAAGTCTTTATAATAAGTAATGACTCTTGAAACATAATCACAATACCATTATGACAAAACGACTAATTCGTGAATGTCACCTAATATCCAGCCAGAGTTTAAATATCTCATTGTCTTACAAAGTTGTAAGTTTTTATTTTTATACCTTGTTTGAATAAATACCCAAATACAGACCATACTGTGCAATTGATATACTTGTTAATTTCATTTTTTGGGGGGGTGGGGGAGAGGTTTTTGCTATTGGGTGCGTGTGCATGCCAGAAAGAGAGAGACAGACAGAAAGTGAGAAATCACCCCCGATGGGGGATGGCCACATTGCAATCCCTTCTCCTCCATTCTCCTCTTGGGATCATGGGCACGCATGCACACACACCCAACGTGAGTTTAAGCCACTGAGTCCGGGACTCGAACCTTGGTTGACTACATGGGAATCCAGCGACATAGTCATTACGCCAACTGCTGGTCCCATTAATTTCATTTTTAAGATAAGTTCTCCCTTTCTTTTTTTTCCCTTGCAATTTATTGTTGACTAATATGTATGTTTCTTAATGTAAGGAATTTTGCTGTTACGTAAACAATCACCAATAATTTGGTAAGTTTCCTTATTTGGATTATTATTATTTTTTTTAAAGAGGTTTTTTCCTATAGAGGATGTGTGCTCACCAGAGAGACAGAGACAGAAAGTGAGAAATCACCCCTCCCCCGACCCCTGGGAAATGGCCATGTAGCAATTCCTTCTCCTCCATTCTTCTCTCAGGATCTTTGGGATGCACGTACATGTGCCTGGCATGAGTTTTAAGTAGCAAAGTCAGGGACTCAAACCGTGGTAGTCCAGCAATGTAACTACTACACCATCTGCTGGTCTCTATAATTATTCTTTTAATATTTTAGTTGCATTCCAAAATTTTTTTCTTTAAACAATTATTTTATTCAGCTTTATTTATTTATTTTAATTTGACCAGAGAAGGACAGAATGAGAGAGAGAGGGAAGGTGAGAAAGCAAGCTGCCAGGTCTGGGACTCGAACCACAGTTGGCCATGTGGAAATCCAGTGCCCTTAACCACCACACTGCCTGCCTGCCCTTCCAAGGATTTTTTTGAGAAAGCCCTGAATTGGTGACATAGAATTATCTCACAGCATGCCTGGAGTGTTTTTTCGCAACTTGTATCAAGGGCAGAAATCCTGTGATTTTGAGCTCTGTTTGGACATCAACAGAGGTGTGAATCACTTACAGTTGTTTGGAGATCATCTGTTCTATCAAGGAAGACATTCAATGCTGCTTCTCTTTCCAAAATTGTATCAATATTTTGTGCCATAACCTTTTTTACATCAGTCTCTTGACTCCTCGTTACGGAAATAGTGCCGTCATCTTGGGTTGTATTGTATTTCATCTATATCAAGTGAAATATAATACAAATTTTACTCTTTATAAATGAAATACATTATAGCATTAATATATTACTAAAATTGGGAAAAAGGATGTGCCTTTAAATTGTGTCAAAGGTACATTTCACTTGTATTTCAGCATAAGGAATCATTTATACCTTAAATTGTCCCACCTTAATCTTTTCTAAAAGAGTTGGGAGGGGACCAGTAGATGGCGTAATGGTTACATGGCTGGACTTCCATGTAGTTGACTGCTGTGAGTCCCAGACTCGGAGACATAAAACTCAATGCCAGGTGCATGTGTGTGCGTGTCCAAAATCCCAAGAGAATGGAGGAGATGGGGTTATGGTGTGGCCATCCCTCCTGGGGGGGATTTCTTACTTTCTGTCTGTCTCTGTCTTTTGGGTGAGCACATGTGCCCTAAGGCAAAAATCTCTCAAAAGAAAAAAACCCATAAACTGTCTCCATAGTTTGCTTTTCACAGAATATCACATAGTTGGAACCGTATAGTATATAGCCTTTTCAGATTGGCTTCTTTCACTTAGTGATACACATTTAAGTTTCCTCTATGTCTTTGGATGGCTTCATAGATCCATCTTTCCTTCTTTCTCCCTCCCTCCCTTTTCTCCTTCCTTTTCTTTTTAACCGCCAGAGGGTGTGTGTATTCCCCAGGAAGAGGCCAAGAAACAGTGAGAAAGACAGAGAGAACGCACCTCCCCCTGCCCTGCCCCCACACCAACACACACAGTGGGGTGTGGTCATGCCACAACTGCTTCTCCATTTCTCCATCCTGTTGAGATTATGGGCGCGCGCGCGCACACACACACACACACACACACACACAGACACACACACACACACACAGACACACACACATATAGCCAGTGTGTTTTCCTTTTCTTTTTCTCTCTCCTTTTTTTTTAATAGATATATTTAATTTTATTTGTTACTAGTTTTAAAATTTTCTGTAGGGCACATGAACTCACCAGAGAGAGACATAGAGAATGAAAGAGAGAGAGAAAAAATGAGAAAAAAAGCCCCCAGGACTCAAACCGCAGTTGGCCATGTGGGAGTCCAGTGCCTTAACCACCCTGCCCTCTGCTGGCCACCTCAGTATGTTTTTCAGGTTGCCAGGGCTGGGATTTGAACAGGTTGATCATGTGGAATATGGCTCCCTTAATCACTGATCTACAGAGTTAGCCCCTAATGTTACTACTTTTTTTTTTTTTTTTAAGATAGAGGTTTTTACTATAGGGAATGGCCATGCTGCAATCCCTTCTCGATTCTCTCGGGATCCTGGACACGCGTGTGCACACCCACCCACCCACACACACACACACACACATGCCTGGTGTGAGGTTTAAGCCATTGGGTCTGGGACTCGAACTGTGGTTGACTACATGGAAGTCCAGCAACATAACCATTATGCCATCTGTTGATTCCTCTAATGTTGTTAGTAACAATGTGACTCTTAAAAATAAAAACTTCGAGGGACCAGCAGTTAGTGTAATGGCTACGTCGCTGGACTCCCACATAGTCGACCGCGGTTCACGTCCCAGACCCAGTGGCTTAAAACTCACGCTGAGTGCGTGTGCGTGCGTGCCCAAGATCCCAAGAGGAGAATGGAGGAGAAGGGATTGTGGCATGGCCATCCCTCCTGGGGGGTGATTTCTCGCTTTCTGTCTCTCTGTCTTTCTCTCTGTCTGGTGAGCGCACGCGCCCTATAGCAAAACACCTCTCAAAAATAAATAAATAAATAAAAACTTTGAGATTAATTTTTCGTTCTTTCTTTCATTAGGGAATAATCCCACTAGGAATATACAAACAATTTACTGTGTTTAGAGTCACCTGAAATACATTTTCACTCTGTTAAGTTATTAACTCAATACACTATTTATTTATTTTTTTTTGAGAGATTTTTGCTGTAGGGCATGTGCATTCGCCAGAGAGACAGAAAGTGAGAAATCAGCCATGCTACAATCCCTTCACCTCCATTCTTCTCTTGGGATTTTGGACATGTGCATACACATGCACAATATATTTCAAGCCTCTGGGTCTCAGACTCCAACCATGGTCAGCCGCGTGGGAGTCCAGGGCCTTAACCCCTATGCCACCTGTTGGGCCCTCAATACACACTTTTTAAAAAAATTTACTTTTGAATTTTAGATATTAAATAAAAAATTTATAATAGTAAAATACAAATAACATTAATTACTATTTCAACTTTTTAAATAAAATAATGATTTAACTTTATTTATCCATTTATTTATTTATTGTAATTTTATCAGAGAGGGACAGAGAGAGAAAGTGAGAAAGCAACCTGCCAGATCCAGGACTCAAACCGCAGTCAGCCACATGGGAGGCTGGCGCCCTTAACCACCACGCCATCTGCTGGCCCCCATTTTAACAACTTTTAAGTGACAGTAAGTACATTTACAGTGTTGTGCAACTATCACCACTATCCAGCTCCAGAAGTTTTTTCAATCTTCTTGAACTGAGAAGGTATACATTAAGCACTAACTGCCTATTCTTTCCTGCTCCCACCCCCTGGCAACCACCATCGTACCTTTCATCTCTATGAATTTGACTATTTATGTAAGTGAAGTCATACAGTGTTTATTTTTTTATTTTTTATTTTTTTTTGTGACTGTCTTATTTAATTTACTAGGAACTTCTTTTAGATTTTAAAATTTAATATATTTTTAAATTATTTTTTCTTTCTTTCTTTCTTTCTTTCTTCCTTCCTTACTTCCTTCCTTCCTTCCTTCCTTCCTTCCTTCCTCTCTTCCTCTCTCTCTTTCTTTCTCTCTCTTTGTCTTTCTCCTTCTCTTTTTCTTTCTCTTTCTTTCTTTCAATTTGACCAGAGAGAGAGACACACAGAGAGAAAGAAAGCTGCCAAGTTCGGGACTTGAACCACAGTTGGCCATATGGGAGTCCAGCATCCTTGAATACCACGCCACCTACTGGCCCCAGATTTTAAAATTTAATATTTTATAATGATGTAAACATTTGCATGGTTCCAAAGCAAAATTTGCAAAATATTTCATACAGAAAGGCCTAGTTTCTATTCCTGTCACTTCAACTCTTCTTTCTTTCCCCATCCCCGCCTAGGTAACCACCAAAATACTTTTCATTTATGCTTTCCTTGCCCCCCCCTTTTTAAAATTGCCATAGGGCATATGTGCTTGCCAGAGAGAGACAGAGAAGGAAAGTAATAACTCCTCAGCCGGGATGGCTTTGCTGCAGTCCCTCCTCCATTTTCTTTTTGGGATTTTGGGCACACATGCACATGCTCCCAGTGTGCTTTTCAAGCTGCTGGGTCCAGGACTTGAACTGCACAGTGGGCCATGTGGGATACAGCACCTTAACTACCATGCCACCTGCTGTTCTTCTCTGCTTTTTTTTTTAAACTATAAGTAAACAAATATATATATTTGTATTTATTCCCTCTTCCTGAAATTGTTGCATTAAGAATGATAAATAATAGTATGCCATACTAACTTCCTACTTATTAACTTAATATTCATGGATATCATTCCTCATCATCATGTAGAGATAACCTGCATTAACTTTTACAGGTCTTACCTCCTAACTCCCAGAAGGTAAGTCAGCTGTAATACTAATTACATTTAGGAGTACAATTTGAGGTTACATACCATATACTTTGCTAATACTTGTTGAAAATCTGCAGCAACTGCATTTGAAGGGGAGAAATGTTCTGGTGGCATCGAAGGATTTCTTGCAAAAATATCACTAACCTGGGGAAATTAATGGAAATATTTAACTCATGGAGATAATTTCAACTGGACAATTGCAGAAGAAACATTCATTGGAAGCAATGTCTGGCAGGAACCTGAAAATAAAAGAAACTACAACACCGCTGGGTTTTTGGTGGCATGGCATCCTTTCTGTTTAAAGAGGCAGGATTTATGAAAACTGCGTCTGCCTACCTTATCCACTGCTGCTGCACAGATAGAGCCTCACACGGTGTGACTGCAGGCGCTACCTTGACTCTGTGGTAATCCCAAGGATTTGAGGGTGAGAGCACATGCTTACTTCTGGCAGACAAGAGAATATAGAAACCCACAATATTTTATAAACAGTACTTTCATTTCCCCCTTCTGCCATTCATTCAGCAATAACAAAACATGGGACCAACAGATGGTGTAATGGCTATGTCAATGGACTCCCATGCAGTCGACAGTTCGAGTGTCAGACCCGGCGTCTTAAAACTCATGTAGAACACATGTGCGTGTGTGCCCAAAATCCCAAAAGGAGACTGGAGAAGGGACTGTGGTGTGGCCATCCGCTGTAGGAGGTGATTTCTTGTTGTCTCTCTGTCTCTCTGGTGAGCGCATGTGTCCTATAGTAAAACTCTCTCTTAAGGGGGTGGCAGCTGGTATGGTGGTTAAGGGCACTGAACTCCCACAAGGTTAACTGGTTTAAGTCCCAGACCTGGAGACTTGCCTTCTCACTTTTTCTCTCTGGTCAAATTAAAATAAAACAAGTAAACAAATAAAGTTAAATAAAAAATAATTCTTTTTTAAAAATTATTTTATTTAATTTATTCATTCATTTATTTTAATTTGAACAGAGAGACACAGAGAGAGAGAGAGAGGAAAAGCGAGAAAAGCACGCCACCAGGTCCGGGACTCAAACCATGGTCGGCCATGTGGGAGTGTCCAGCACCTTAACCACCTTGCCACCTGCTGGTCCCCCCAAAATAATTCTTTTTAAAAAAAAACCCTAAAAACAATAACAGAACAAAGCAAACTAAATGCTATGATACTGTCTTTTCAAATCGTAGTTATAGGGCATTTCAAAATCTCAAGAAAGAATTCTGACAACTATTTGTACATAATGTTGTATTTCTCGGAAGTGATGGTAAAAAGTATGTGGTTAGCAATTTTGTGTCACCTGATTTTGGAAAGGTGGTAAAATTGAGTTTTTTTTTTTTTTGGAGAGGTTTTTCTATAAGGAGCGTGCACTCGCCGGACAGAAAGAGAGAGATGGAGAGACAGAAAGCGAGAAATCCCCCCCCAGGGGGGATAGCCACGCTGCAATCCCTTCTCCTCCATCCTCCTCTTGGGATCTTGGGCATGCACGCACACATGCCCGGCGTGAGTTTAAGCCACCAGGTCCGGGACTCAAACCCTGGTTGACTACATGGGAGTCCAGCGACATAGCCATTACACCAACCGCTGGTCCCCAAATTGAGATTTTTGTCATAATGGGTAGAAAGAAAACAAATTAATGGAATATTTATTTAAATGGCTAACAGGTTTAGCATCTAGACTCTAGCAATTGTGCAGAGTGAATGATAATACTCAGGCCTTTCATCTTTGACTCTATAGATGGTTACGGTTTGAACTGTGTTAAAGCAAATCAGTATACCAAAAAGTAAAAATATATGCATGACTCATGAAGGTGACTGGGGGATAATTATCAGTAATTATAGCATAGATTACTTATTCTTCCATTAATACATTTATACTAAATTATATATTTATAAAAAAATTGGAAGGTCAGTATCATTTTCTTTTTTCAAAGTGAGAAATCACCTCGGGGGGTGGAGGGTGGGGGGATGGCCATGTCGCAATCTCTTCTCCTCCACTCTCCTCTCCGGATTTTGGGCATGTGTGCACACACGCTTGCTGTGCATCTCAAGCCACTGAGTTGAGGATCTGAACATGGTTGACATGTGGGACTATAGCGTCTTAACCACTATACTACCTGCTGGCCCAGTATAACTTTCTTTTCTAAAATGAGAGATACATACAGAGATTTTGCTACAGGGTGCGTGCACTCGCCAGAGAGAGACAGAGAGACGGAAAGTGAGAAATCACCCCCCAGGGGGGAATGGCCACAGCACAATCCCTTCTCCTCCATTCTCCTCTCGGGATCTTGGGCACGCACACACATGTGCCCGGCATGAGTTTAAGCCACTGGGTTCAAGATGCGAACCGTGGTCAACTATGTGGGAGTCTAGTGACATAGCCATTACGCCAACTGCTCGTCCCACACACAGAGATTTTTGACAGAGTCTCACCACATTGATTTTGCCATCTCAGCCTCCTAGTTAACTAGAACTGCAGATATGCACCCCTATAGTTGGCCTATTTAGGTTGGGCTGAAAAACAAATCTGGGCTTCCTGTGCGGTCTTAGCACCAAGCTTAAGCTGCTGTGGCTGGGCCTCATTTACTTTTTTTTTTTTTTTTGAGAGATTTTTGGTATAGGACATGTGTGCTCGCTGCAGAGACAGAGACAGAAAGTGAGAAATCCCTCCACCTGGGGGGATGGTCACATTGCAATCCTTTATCCATTCTTCTCTAGGGATTTTGGGCATGCATGCACATGTGCCCAGGATGAGTTTTAACTGCTGGGTCCAGGACTGAAACTGCGGTTGACTATGTGGGAGTCCAGTGATGTAACCATTACGCCACATGCTGGTCCCTTCTTTTTTTTTTTTTTGAAGAGTTACATATTCTTTATTTGATAGTATACATAAACCACACTAAAATGTCTTTCAATAAGTAAAAGGCAGTGTTTTGGATAAAGGGAATTCGAATTAAAATGGTAAGGACCAAATATATAAAGTAGACATCACCACCTTATCTTCAGTTTTTGCCTTAACAGGTTAATAAACACAAATTAAAACACAGGTGAGTCTGCTTAGTTTTGAGAAGTGAAGGGATTTTGCCAGCATTTATATATTCATATAACCAGTTACATATAAGCCTAAATAAAACTATTCTCCAGTAGGCTTTGAGATGGTATTCACCATCTTTGTAGAAATATGAGCATCACTAATGAATTACTAAATATATCTTCAGAAAGGGCAAAAATAGTGAGAGCACTTACTGAACTAAAATTACTATCAAAATTAAAAAAAAAAAAACAATGTTAATTTAACCACAAGCCTGTCTTATTTAAATCAGGATTGTCCAACAAAAATAACCTGTCAGCCATTCATGATCTGAGTTCTGGTGTAGGAGATCAATTAAAATATGGTACACATTAAAAAGGTGAGACATTTCTGTTTTGTCATATATAAGGCAGTGGTCACCTATTACTCATTAGTAGATTTTTTTTTAAAAGAATTATTTATTTAATTTTATTTATTCTGTCATTTATTTTAATTTGACCATAGACACACACACACACACACACACACACACACACATGGAAATTGATGGAAATTGAAATTGAGAAAGCAAGCCACCAGGTCCAGGACTTGAACTGCGGTCAGCCATGTGGGACTGTTCAGGGTCTTAACCACCACATCATCTGTTGGTCCCACTCATTAGTAGTTTTTTTAAGATAAGCTATCAACTCTGCTCTTTCTGACTTCTTTTTAATGCCAGTGAAGATCATTTTTGTACCAGGGATGTACTTCTTGGGATTTTCCAAATACTCCATCTGTGTATCTTCTCCCCAGGTAATGCCTTTGTTCTTGTTGGCATCTGCACAAGAAAATCCAGTGGCCTGACCTGTCTTCCACCCAAATAGACCATGGAGATTTGGGCCAGTCTTGTGCTTGCCTCCCTTTTCCATGGTGTGGCACTGGGCACACTTCTGAACAAAAATCTTGCCTTCCTCAACATCACTCATTTTTAATTCTCTCTTTTGTCGGTTGGGAATATACAGTAACCGCTCAAAAGTCAGATGACCTGCTGTCTCCCTTACTTATTATTATTTTTTTTTTTTGAGAGGTTTTCGCTATAGGGTGCGTGCGCTCGCCAGACAGACAGAGAGAGACAGAGAGACAGAAAGCGAGAAATCACCCCCCAGGGGGGATGGTCACGCCGCAATCCCTTCTCCTCCATTCTCCTCTCGGGATCTTGGGCACACACGCACACGCGCCCGGCATGAGTTTTAAGCCACCAGGTCTGGGACGCGAACCGCGGTCGACTACGTGGGAGTCCAGCGACATAGCCATTACGCTAACTGCTGGTTCCCTCCCTTATTTCTTTTTTAAGTGCCAGAAGTTGTGTGTACATGGGAGTATGTGTATGTGTCTGTGTGAGAGAGAAAGCATGCATGGTATTACTCCCCACTGAGGCCTACTCACACCACAGTCCTATCTCCTCCCATTCTGCATCTTATCTAGATTCTAGGCATGTGCATGAGCACCTAGTGTGTTTTTTAAGTTCCCTGGGGCTAGAGCTTGAAACTTGGTTAGCCATGTGGGGTCCAGCTTCCTCTGTGTAGCACTTTACTGCTGTACTATGGGGCAGACCCCCTCTTTTTTATTTTATACTGGAAAAAGATCATGATAGAGTGCATGCTTGCATGCATGAGAGAGAGAGACAGAGACAGAGACAGAGAAACAGGGAGAGGCATCCTTTATGGGGCTCATTTTATGCTGAGCTCTCCTTCTTCCGGTGCTTCAGCCCTCCTGGATGCTGAGCAAGTGTGCACTTACCCAGTGTGTTATCAGGCTCACAGGGCTGGGGACTCAAACTGAGACTGGCATATGGCTTCCAGCTCTGTTGTCCAGTACACTACTGACTGTGCCATAGAAGCTGGTCCCTCATTTGCTGTTTAAAATAAGAAACATATATACCATCTGGACCACAAAATTGTTAGTGTGATTTTTACCAGCTTAGCTCCTGTCTGTCTCTAAGAATGCCTTTTGTGATGCCTCCTTTTGGTTAGAGATTAAATTTGTGATGATTTGAAAAATTGGTAATATCTATTGAGAAGGTTAAATACCCTTTAAGAAATTTATAAAATCTCATGTATTTACATAAATACATACACATTAAATACTCTATCATAATTTACTGGCAAACTCAGCTTAAATTTTTTTTAACTTTATTTACTTATTCATTTATTTTAATTTGACCAGAGAGGGACAGAGTAAAAGATAGAAAGAGAGAGAGAGAGAGAGAAAAGGAGAGAGAGAGAGAGAGAGAGAGAGAGAGAGAGAGAGAGAGAGAGAGAGAGAGGAAGCAAGTCTCTAGGTCCGGACTTGAACCATGGTTGGCCATGTTGGAGTCCTGTGACTTTAACCACCACACCACCTGCCAGCCCCAGTTTAACTTTCTTTAATGATAGTGTGTCTTGATTTAAAAACAATATTTCTTTTTTTAATTACAAATTTTTTAAAAGAATCCTTTTATTTAACTTTATTTATCCATTTATTTATTTATTTATTTATTTAATTTGACCAGAGAGGGACAGAATGAGAGAAAGTGAGAGAGAAAGTGAGAAAGCAAGCCACCATATCTGCAGTTGGCCATGTGGAAGTCCAGTGCCTTTAACCACCATGCCACTTGCCGGCCCCTAAAAACAGTATTTCTTTCATTTAACTCTTATAATTGGTTCATGTACTCTAACAGAAATGTCTTTAGAAATTGGCCTCAAAATTTTTTCATCACTTATCTCCTTCATGTGTATAACTCTTTTAAAAATTAAATACATGTTCTATTGAGAAAGTACCCTAAATGTTAGTCTTCCTTTCTTCCTTTCTCTTTTTAATTGCCAGAGGGTATATGTACTTACTACAGAGAGACAGAGATATAGAGGTAGGGAGAAAGCACCCTCCCAAAAAGAGTGTGGTCATGCCACAATCTCTTCTCTTGCATTTTTCCACCTTGTCAAGATTCTGAGCATACATCAACTGTGCTGGCATATTTTTCAAGCTGCTGGGGCCAGGATATAACTTCAGTTGGCCATGTGAGATCTAGTTCCTTTAACCACTAGACAATGGGGCTGGCCCTCTTTCTTATTCTTAAAAATATAATATAAAGAGAATTGACTTTGGAACCATATAAATTTTTTGTATAATTATAAGATATTATGAAATCAACCAGCAGTTAGCGTAATGGCTATGTCGCTGGACTTCCATGTAGTTGACCGCGGTTCGAGTCTTGGACCCGGTGGCTTAAACTCACGTCGGATGCGTGTGCGTGTGGGCCCAAGATCCTGAGAGGAGAATGGAGGAGAAGAGATTGCGGCATGGCCATCCCCCCTGGGGGGTGATTTCTTGCTTTCTGTCTCTCTGTCTCTCTCGCGAGCGCACATGCCCTATAGCAAAAACCTCTCCAAAAAAAGAAAAAAAAGATATTATGAAATCAAACTTGAAAAAATAGTATTTGTTAAAAATCAGACAAACTGAGAAAAAAGGCTTTTTATCAAGTATATCAATATATCTGATTGGTTGGTCTCTGTAGACCTGGCTTTACCCTGGCTTTACATTTAGGGGAAATATGGAACCAGGAGACACATGAGGGATGAAGGAAAGAGATATCCGAATGTGATTAATGGTTCTTTATCGACAGGAGATGAGTAATCTGCTTTTGGTTAATGACACTTTCACTAATGAACTATAAAAGAGACTTCATAATTTTTTTATAATTCTTTTTAAGAATAATTATTTATATTTATTATTATTATTTTAGAATTTGCTATAGGGCTCATGCACTCATCAGAGACAGTGAAAGAGAGAGAGGGAAAGTAAGAGAGCAAGCTGCCAGGTCTGGGACTCAAATCACAGTCAGCCATGTGGGAGTTTAGCGTCCTAACCACTATGCTGCCAACTGGCTTCTGAGACTTCATAATTTTAGTAACTGAAAAATTCCTACATGTAGTATAAAATGACTTACTTGTTCCAGAAATTCTGGTGGTGTCACAGTATCCAAGGCATTGTCTGTAGCACATAAGTAAGTAATTCCATCAATAGAGAGCGTATGGTAGATATAGCTTTGAAGAGAATACATTTATTTACATAATATTGAAGAAATTAGGTACTTACACAGAATTTAATTTCCTTTTTCAAGCTTTCCTTATTGGTCTAAAGTTATACAGATATCTTTTTATAAACGAGTGATTGGAAGACTTTTTTTAAATATATTTCAAATACTAAAGAAAATTATGTTAAATCTAAAGTCTATGAAACTGGGACCAGCAGTCAGCGTAATGGCTATGTCACTGGACTCCATGTAGTTAACTGCGGTTCGAGTCCCAGACCTGGTGGCTTAAACTCACGCCAGGCGCATGTGCGTGTGTGCCCAAGATCCCGAGAGGAGAATGGAGGAGAAGGGATTGTGGCGTGGCCATCCCCCCTGGGGGGCGATTTCTCGCTTTCTGTCTCTCTGTCTTTCTGGCGAGTGCACGCGCCCTATAGCAAAAACAAAAAGAAAAAAAAAGTCTATGAAACTTAAATATGCATTTAAAATTGCACCAATGAAAATAAATTACGTTAAAGAGAAAACTAATAATCTGATTTTATATATATATTTTATAAATATATTTGAAATGACTTTGAGATAAGTCACTCACATTCCAAGACTGAATCAAGATTCTGATTAAACAGAAAACGTTATGTTCACTGATTTTTATTATTCCTATAGTTTAATTTTCATTTTGGCATCTCTTGGACTTTAATTATGATAGATTAGATTTTAAAAGCTGTAAACTACCCATACTAAATATTCTCTAGAGCAAGATCAACTGGGGAGAGGGGAATTCAACTTACCATTTTATGCTAAAGTGTGTCTTATCCCGATCACTCCAAATTCCAGACCATTTTTCTATAAGGTACAAGGGGGCTCCAAAAAGTTCATGGAAAATGAGTATTATGAAAAATCTATGTGTGGACTTCAAAATGTTTTTGTACCAAAATAAACTTGTACTTCAATTCCATTTTCCTACAAACTCTTTCAAGTCTTCTTGTACTTTTATAGAATGTATTTCTTATAGGGGGAAAAAAAGGAAAATGAAACACCAATAACTTGTTCAAAATATTTATCAGTGTAGGGGGAGAACGAGAGAACAACATGGAGAGGAAAGAAATGAAAATTAGACTTTCAAAGGAAACTTGTTTGCTAGATTTGACTTTGGAACCATGTAAATGTTTTGAATAATTGTAAAATATGAAATCAAACTTTTAAAAATAGTAATTGTTAACAATCAGACAAAATGAGAAAAATAGTTGTGTATCAGGTAACCCAGGCAAGACATAATGGTGGCTTGGTTACTATTTGAAAGGGAAAGGCAATGGGACTTGCATAAGGATTGGATTTGGATATGTTAAAAATAAAAAAGAAAGAAAGAAAAAGAAAAGAAAAGAAGTCAGGGATAACAAAGGTTTTAGGTCTGATAAACTGGAAAAGTAATTTATGGAAAACCACAGGAAGGTTAGCTTGGACATGAGCTTGAGTGTTTGTTAGCCATCTAAGCAGAGATGTGTAATAGGAAGTTGGAGATACAAGTCTGGAGTTCAGGGAAGAGATCTTTGAAAGACTCAAAACTAGAATATACAATACAGGTAAGCAAATAGCAAATGACGTGTCTCTTTTTGAAATCATTTCAGTTAGTAAGTAAAAAACTAGATTATCATCATTTTGCAATCTCCAAAAAATTAATTTTGCTAGGCATTAAAGCCTAGCCATTATCAATGGCTGCTGACATCTCAAAGGGAGATATAATCAGATTTATATACCATCTGATGGAAAACACTTATAGTCATGCAGAAGGGATTGGACATGTGGGTCTAGCTGCCTGGAATATGGCAAATTGCATTTTGAGTGTGCAATCAGCAAACCTATAGTGTGAGAAACTCTCATTTTTTAAATCAATAAATTATAAGGAAAGGGAAAGGATAGGAGGGAATATGTAGATTTAAAGAGACTTAAAGAAGACGATTTTTTTTGGAGATTTTTTTGTTATAGGGTACATGCACTCACCAGAGAGACAGAGAGGCAGAAAGCAAGAAATCTCCCCTAGGAGGATGACCACGCTGCAATCCATTCTCTGATCTCTTAGGATCTTGGGTGTGCACACATACCCACACATCCCGTGTGAGTTTGAAACCACCTGGTCTGGGACTTGAACCATTGTCGACCATGTGGGAGTCCAGCAACATAACCTCTCCACCATCTGTAGAGGTTACGTCTTTGGCCCCTAAAAGAGGGGCAGAATTGGACTGTCATCTGAGGATGCCTATTTGGGAGCAAGAGCAATAAAAAGGAAAGTTACTACTGTAGAAGTTGAGACAGTAGTTGATTTTGGAGGGGGAGGGAAAAGGTAGTGAATGGGACAGGACATATGATAGGGAGTTTTCAGGGTGGTGGGTAAGGTCTTTTTTTTTTTTTTTTTTAGGTTTAGGTGATAGTTGCTATTGTGAGAAGTTCCTCATAATGCTTCATATTCACAAAGCTATACATTCATGTGATTTTTTTAAAAAAAGAATTATTTGACTTTATTTATTTTTTAAATTTATTTTAATTTGACCAGAGAGGGACAGAGTGAGAGAGGGAAAGTGAGTGTAAGCTGTCAGGTCTGAGACTTGAACCACAGTTGACGATGTGGGAGTCCAGCACCCTTAATCACTGTGCTACCTGCCAGCCCCCATTCATGTGATTAAAAAAAAAAGATCTCCCTTTTACTTAATGATAAAAAGATTAAAACAAACTTAACTTCTTATAAACTGAAATTTTCTTCCACCAGTTCCCTTACTAACGAATGTTTTTAAGATTGGTTTATACCATACTCTGTGATGTCTCAAGTAAAGCTTAAGAGTGATAACCACTATTCTTGGTCTTATTAAGGATATTTTACAGTAGAAGTTCCCTTTTTATCAATGAATTGTTTTTGGTATACTAAAATTGTATGAAGGCTAGAATAACAAGAATATTTTTGGATGTTAAAAATATTACCTATATTCACTAATATATCCCCTATATATGCTTTCTCAATTCTGTTCTTCTGCCTTTGCAGAGGTAACCAGTATCTTGACTTTCCTTTTTATCATTCCCATTCATGATTTTATACATTGACATATACAAGTTCCCCCTACTGAGGGGTCAATCAAAGTCTATGAATAACTAGTATTTTTCCCCCCTCATGTTATCATAAGAATTATTAGCTGTTAATAAGTAGACTTGTATTAAAATATTCCTTACCTTCCCACTTGAATTACAGTCTTTGGTTCAGCACTAAGAAGCACTAGTCTAAGTACTTCTGCCACTGCTTCCTAAAAATAAATCGTTGGCATTTACTTTGAAGAAAATAGTAGTGTCTTTCCTTATTGCCCTCCTACCTGTACCAATGTTCTGATTCGTTTATTAAGGAAAACTGTTTATTAGGAACTCTAATGGGAGGGAAGAGGCAATTAATCATATTAGTAAAATATTTCTATGACTCCGAAGGAAAATTTTGTTAAAGAGAACTCCCCAATGAGGCATGGTCATGGTATAATCCTTTCTTCTCCATTTCTCTATCCTGTTAGGATTTGGAGCACATGTGCACACCCAGCATGTGTTTCAGGCCACTGGGGTCAAGACTTGAACTGCAGGTTGGCCATGTGGGATCCAGCTCATTACGGCACAGGGCTTACTACTGTGCTATAGGGCTGGCTCCAGAGGAAAATATTAAAATCATATAGATATACGTATAATGTATGTGTATAGGTGTATGTGTAGAACTTCAGGCTGCACTAGATAATGTTATTTATTTATTATTATTATTTTAACTCGCCAGAGAGCAAGAGAGAGAGAGAGAGAGAGAGAGAGAGAGAGAGATCGGGGAGGAAAGCAAGCTACCAGGTCCAGGACATAAAACTATAGTCAGCCATGTGGGAGTCCAGTGCCTTAACCACCACGCTACCTGCTGGTCCTGATGTTATTTTTACAGTCACAACTTATATATGACTTTGAGGTCTGAAAGCATTATTGAATCAAACATCTGAGTGATCACAAGTTACTGAAACTATAAATAAAATGTTAATGGATTAAAGATACTCTATCTAGTTCTTATGTTCTGAATACCTTAGGAATCTTTTTTTATTTTTTAAAGGTTTTTGCCATAGGGCACATGCCCTCACCAGAGAGACAGTGAGAGGGAAATTGAGAAACCCCTAGGAGGGATGACTACACTGTTATCCTTTCTCCTCCATTCTTCTCCTGGGATTTTGGGCATGCCCGCATGCATGCATGTGTGCCCGCCCAGCCTGAGTTTCAAGCTACCGGGCCCAGGACTTGAACTGTGGTGGGCCATGTGGGAATCCAGCACTACACCACTTGCTGGCCTCATCTTTCATATTTATTTATTTATTTTTTGGAGAGGTTTTTGCTATAGGGTGCGTGTGCTCACCAGAAAGAGAGATAGAAGCAAGAAATCACCCCCGGGCCACACCACAATCCCTTCTCCTCCATTGATGGCCACGCCACAATCCCTTCTCCTCCATTTTCCTCTCGGGATCTTGGGTACGCATGCACACGCGCCCGGCATGAGTTTAAGCCACCAGGTCCAGGACTTGAACTGCTGTTGACTACATGGGAGTCTAGCAACATAGTCATAACGTCAACTGCTGGTCCCTCATCTTTCATACTTTTAAGACAAAAATTTTTACTCATCATTGTTAAAGGATCCCATTCTGAAAAACAAAGAATTGCCAAGCACTCATACCTGTTTCTTATAAGGCTGATTCTTTGTGGGAAAATTTGCATAGTACTACAATTATCTAGAATACCTTAAATACAGTCAATTATGTGAAATCCCATTAATTTAGAAGTGTGAAAGGAATCTGAGCGTTACCTAAGAAGCTTTGAACAGCCACATTCCTAATTAACTTTTCCATTTTCACAAAATGACACTTGAAATAAAAACTTTTATGGAAGGGGATCAGCAGTTAGTGAGGAGTGATGGGGGGGATAGGGGGTCGTGATTTCTCACTTTATGTCTCTCTGTCTTTCTGGCGAGCACACATGCCCTATAGTAAAACCCTCTCCAAAAAAATAAAAAAAGTAAGTTTATAAAGGAAGCACCATAGTCCACGGTCTCGTCACCTCTGCGGCCGGCAGGCAGTCACCCTTACTGAGCGTTAGGAACACTCACAACCTACCTCCACTAAAATACTTTTTACGCTCTAGACAATTGTATACAACTCTTGGCTATAATGGGACGAGTTCAAGGTACAAATGTCAGGCTCATTTTCAGGCTGTATTTCTTCCTTTACTCCGGGACTTTTCACCTAAGACACGTTCAATAATGTGTGCAGAACTGCAGGTCGCCTCTGCGCGGGGAAAAGAAAATCTTTCACTGGCTAGCGGAGTTACAGGTGGTGCAAACCACAGCTAAACCGGGCATGTGCAGCACCAGCCCCGGCCTCTGGGCGGCGCAGCGCGGCTCCCGCCGGGGACTCCCGGCTTCTCGCGGGACGGGGCCTCGCGCCCCTAAGGCCGCTTCTCGGCGTCCCTCAGCGCCCCAGCCTGAGCGGCGGGCCGGCGGGCGCCACCTGCGACGAGCGGAACCCGAAGAGGTGGAGACCGGACTCTAGGTACCTGATAGGAGCCGCCGGTCAAAGCCAGCTCCGCCAGGACCGCTCGGCCATTAGCAATGCAGCTGTAGGTAATCGTCATAGTGGGCGGCCCACTGAGGGGACGGCTGCCGCCGGCCTAACCGCCCGCGCCCGCCTCAGGAAGACGGCGGCGCCTGCGCAGGCGCGAGGAGAGGCTGATTGGCAGGAGGAGAGGCGGGGCCGAGCAGTTGTGCTCGGGCCTCAGACAAGGGGGCGGGGTTTCTGGAAAAACCCAGTTCGGATGGGTGGAGCCGTTCTGCTTCGCAGTCGTTCTTAACCTCGTTTGTTAAGAACCAGTTTGTTTTACAAAGCTTGCTTGCTTCTGATCCAGTCACAATCTATGATAGGAAAACGTGGGCTTCATTGAAAATAAAACTCCATGCATTCATCAAGCTTTTGTTGAACTCTTACTGTGGATTTCTGGGTAAGCCCTGAATCCTGACCTTGAGGAGTTCATATTCCAGTCGCTACAGAGACACACGTGGACAAATGCCCGTTGCAATGATGCGTGTGTGCAATGAAGGCAAGATTAACACGGGGTTGCCGCAGCCGGAGTGGAGGCAGCTAATTCTTGCAAGAGCCAGCGAAGCTCTAAGTCACTGCCCACTTACTGGGGTTGGCGTTGTCTAAGAGGGAAGGAAACAGGGCCAGGTGTCTAGGCGGAGGGAATAGCTTCTGTAAAGGCGTGAAAGACGGTAGATGTGTAGGGAGAAAAGGAGTGGAAGAGTGGGTAGGAGATGAGGGTGGTAGGAGGGGTAGGATGACTTGGCATTCTAGGCTTTGCATACCTTGGCAAGCGTCTTATAAAATGAGCTTCAGATAAGTTTACAGATTTTCATCCTCAGGATAGTCCCGTAGAGCATGGTCGTCAGAGTCAAACTTGGACTCAAATACAGGCATTGCCATTCACTCTGTCTTTCTGTAACTTAACGTTTTTGAGACTCTATTTCCTAATCTATAAAATGGGGCTAATTGTCAAGTTTAAATGAAGTAATTATGCAAAATACAAATGCAGTTGGAATCCTTACTGTGATAATTACATTAACGAGAATTACTTTATTGTCCTCAATGGTTTAACTTTAAAGAAAAGACAATGATGTCCTCTGGGTGCCTCGTAGGAGGTGCAGACAGGTGGTTAATACAGTTTCCTTTAACCCAGTGCTGTCAAGTTCAATTTGACAAAGCAGCAAAATTGGTCTGGACTGTAGCTCTTGAGAAAAATGCTTTGTTGAATCATGTATCTTTCTCTTAAGGAAATTTTGAATCAGTAGATCTTCTCAGCTTGGAGGTAATGTCTGTGTTATGGGCAGGATGAGTGTTAAAGACATTGGTTACATTACTTTATGTGGGAAAATGAAGTATGTTAATTCTGAAATAATGCTGTGGTATATTTTTGCTTACAGTAGAATTAACCTGAATAAACTTGGCCACATTGCTATGTTCTTTCTGTTTAGTAAAAAGTGGAGCTGAGAGATCAGCAGGTGGCATGTGGTTAAGGCACTGGAGTCCCACATGGCCAACTGCAGTTTGGGTCCTGGATCTGGCAGCTTAGTTTCTCACTTTTCCTCTCTCTTTCTCTGGCCAAATTAAAAAAAAAAAAAAGATGAATAAAATAAAATGAACCATAAGTTTAAATACAGTTTGGTTATATTTTTTTTTTTTTTTGAGAGGTTTTTCGCTACAGGGCGTGTGCGCTCGCCAGACAGACAGAGAGAGATATAGAGACAGAAAGCGAGAAATCACCTCCCAGGGGGGATGGTCACACCGCAATCCCTTCTCTTCCATTCTCCTCTCGGGATCTCGGGCGCGTACGCACATGCGCTCAGCTTAAGCTACCAGGTCCGGGACTCCAACCGCAGTCGACTACGTGGGAGTCCAGCGACATAGCCATTATGCTAATTGCTGGTTCCCATAAAATAATTCTTTAAAAAAATGGAGCTGATGTGATCAGCAGGTGGAACAATGGTTATTGTCGCTGGACTCCCACATAGTTGACCACAGTTCAAGTCCCAGATCCAGTAGCTTAAAACTCATGTCGGGCACATGTGTGTGCATGCTCAAAATCCTGAGAGGCGACTGGAGGAGAAAGGATTGTTGTGTGGCCCTTCCCCCTGAGAGGGTGATTTCTCGCCTTCTGTCTCTCCCTGTCTCTCTGTCTATCTCTCCAGCGAGTACACACACCCTATAGCAAAAATTTCCCTTAAAAACAAACATACAAACAAAAAGGTGGAAGCCAGGGGGTGAAGCAGCCATGAGCTGTAGTAATGACAAGCATCTGGTAGTTGGAGAGGTGTATATGGGACCTTCCTGTCTTGGTCTCACCTCGTCATATTAAAACAGTTCTGTGAAGCAGGCATGTTGGGTTCACTTGGCATAGTCCACATGTTCAGCCTACAGCAGTGTGAACCCTAATTTATAATACAGGTCAGTGCTTCTTTCGAGCCCCTTTTATTCTCCCTGATCACCTTTTGGCACAGCAATCTTTTTTAACTTATTATATTTTATTACTCTTTTAAAAAATTATTTTATTTATTTATTTATTATTTTTTAAAAAATTGCGATAGGACACATGTGCTCACCAGAGAGAGAAAGAGAGAGAAAGAGAGGGAAAGTGAGAAAGTAAAGCCGCCAGGTTCAGGACTTGAACTGCCATCACCCATGTGGGAGTCCAGTGCCTTAATCAGCACGCCACCTGCTAACCCCTCTCTAAACCTTTCTCCTGCCCTGCAGTTGCACACTCACCCTCCTCTGCTTCCTCACCTTCCCGTAGGCTTCCTGTGTGCCCTGTTCTACCTGGAATGAGGCTGACTCAGATTTTACTAAACAGGAGGAGGACAACAGTGTGGCCAAATTTATTTGGCTTAACTTTACTGTAAACGAGAAGAGATCACAGCACTGCTTCAGAATGAACATATTTGCTCTCCCCACACCAGGTCATGTAACCAGTGGCAGGTTGTTGGCAGGTTTCCGCAGGTAACTCAGATTTCCCCCTTCCTTTCTTTCTCCGTGGGGTGGTGTCTCTGTGTGGGACACGTGGTGCAGGGAGATCTTCTGATCTGTGACCTTCATCTTTCTAAGATGGCATTTGCTGCTAATGGTTGTTTTCTGTCTGGTCGCCGGTTCACATATCTACCTGGAACCTTGAGGTCCCTTAGGTGCTCTGGTGCACTCTCAGCTGCTTGGTGGCACTTTGTGGGCGAGGCAGACATTCCACTGCCCCTTCATGCCATTCGTTTTTTTGTTTTTTTCTTTTTAAAATTTTTATTATCATCATAATCTTCCTTATATTACATTGGATTACATATAACTTTACAGTGTATTACATTGCTTTTTCAAAAGGGAATGCCATGCATGTCAGTCAATACAGAGACATTAATCTCCCTGCTTCAACATTCAATATCTTTTCTATGTTTTCCCCACTCGTTATTATTATTATTCTAATTATTTTTTTTAAAACAGTCAATCACTATTTCTCATTTTGCTTGTAAAAAGACTTTACCCATCATGAAATACTTCTCAGACCAGTCCGGTTGAGAATACTATCCTTCATGCCATTCTGAGGCAGTGGGCGCTCCAAAGCCATCTCATACCATGCTGCCACCTCTCCCGCAGTGCGGTGGCAGTCTATTGTCAGGGAAGCTGCTCTGGGCCTAACCTCACCGGGAAGAAGCCTTTGGGTCCCCAGTTTCCTGGGAGTCTTCTCATCACCATAGAGGTCACCCCTCACTCCCAGAGGGGACTCTGCTAACCGGAGTGCTTCATTCTCAGTTTCTGCCCTCTTCGTGCACGTGGAAATTCTAGCAAGTCTAGGTGGGGAACCTCTGGCCCCCGAGACAGTCTTCTCAATTTGCCTCATCATTTGCTCTGCTGCCCACCCCTTTTCTTTTTATATATTCTCTCTTCAGAGAGTTTCCAAATTCTATTTGGGACCTTTTAGGAGCTAAGAATTTTTCCTCTTTTCCCTCCTCTGTCTTTCCTTCCTTTTTCTCCATCCTGTTTTTGTGCGAAAGGGCCTAAGAGCCAGGCAGCAGGGGCTGGACAGCGGTGCAGCCTGAAACATGACACCCGGTGAGCCTGGCCCACGTGGGAGGAGTGCAGGTTCTCCTCCAGGTTCCTCCTGAACACATTCAGCCCTGCGTGCCCGTGAGCTGGGCGGGCTAAAGCTTGCGGCAGATTATGGTTTTGGGACCCGGTTGTGGGTGCTGTGTCTCTCGTTCATAGAAGAAATAAATAGTTAAGGTTCATAAAAGAACCACAAGTAATAGGTGTTTTCACCTTCCTTTCAATAGTTTGAGTGGGGCAGAAAAAAAAAAGAGCTTGATTCCTAGGATGGAGAAATAGCACATTTCGCTGATGGTCATTTCTCAGGCAACAGGATTTCAGACCTCATGACTACTGCCATTGGCTACTGTCCTTGCCTTTTAAAGGTTGGCTATTTCAGAAGGGAAAGTCGCTATTTTTGAATCGTCTGATTTGATAGATCATGAGAGAGTTTGTAAATATTCCATCATCTGGACCCTTTCACTCACTAATTCAGAGTGCTGGTTATTAAATATCGAAAATCTCTTGTAAGTGACTGTACTTTTATTTTTGCTCTTCTAAATGGAAATATTTTAACGTTTTATTTTTTTGTATGATCACTATAAAAATCCAAACAACACTACAGTAAAAGCCTCTTTATTTCTATCTCTCTATAAAAATAACTACTGTAATAATCTAATTTATATCTGTCCTTTTAAATGCATTTTTATATTTAACATGAATGGATACATGCATATTTTCTGAAATCTGCTTTCTTGCTTTGTTTTTTTAAAATTAATATATTTTGGGGACCAGCAGGTAATGTGGTGGTTAAGGCACTTTACTCTCACATGGCTGACAGTGGTTCAATTCCTGGACCTGGTGACTTGAAAATCATACCAGGCGTGTGTGTATGCATACCCAGAATCTCTGGAGGAGAGTGGAGAAGAGGGCACTGGAGCATGGCCATCCCCCCAGGGGGGCGACTTCTTATCTTCCTTCTCACCATCTCTCTCTGGCAAGTACATGTGCCCTATGGCAAAAACCTTAAAAAAAAAAGAATAAAAAAATTAATACATGTTGTTT